TCCTCTTGCCAGACATGGAACCTGTAATCCCAACACTCTGGGAGGCTGAGGCAGGAGAATCACAAGTTTGAGCCCTGCTTGGGCAATTTAGTCACTTAGTGAGACCCTGTCTCAAAATAAAAAATAAAGAAGGGCTGGAGATATATCCCAGTGTGAAGGTCTTGTGTTGTTCAATAACCAGCCCTGGGAAAAAGTTTCCTCTCAAATGGAAGGCATCTTTTCCTTCAACCCCAGTTTGCGTCTGAAACTGATACAGAGTAGGTATCTTCTGGGTTCCTAGTGATCCTGCCAAGTCATTTGTTCTTTCAACTAAAAAGTACCATGATAGCTCTTTTTCCTGCTATGTAGAGAACATGTGTATGAGAAGAGAAGGAGACCAACACATGAAAGCAGTCAAGAAGGCCATGGTGTAATAGTCAACATCTTTGATAATGAACAATAGAATCCAGTCTAGACAGTCAAATAAAAATTACCTTATTAAAAAACATTAAGTATCTCAAGAGATTCCCAGAATTTCTGGAAAACAATTTGATAGCTCATTGCTATGATCAATGCAGCTATGCAGAATGACTAAGCTCGTTGGAAAATTAATTAATATAGCAAAGACACCAGTCCTACTGCCTGCTGCCACTTGACACATCCCTAACCCTCAACCTGCAGCCAGAATGTACATCGCCATTACCCAGAAGAACAAGGCACTCTGAGCACTGTTCTTGTCAGAAAAATCAGTCTCCTGGTGCAGGCCCATCACTGCTTACCTTTTTGTATATTTTTCTTTCCAAATCTGATGGAGTTTATTCTGTTCCTTAAACATAACACCTTCTCATTTTATCAGGGCCTTCAGACAGGCTGTTTCTTTGTCCTAAAGAACCCATTCACCCCCACTGTTCTTTCTTATCTCCATTGCTTAGCCCCTGACAATTCCTATTTATTCTTTATCTTTCAGTTAAATGTGGCATCATGAATGTCTTTGTAATGGGAATTTCTTGGGGCTGAGGGATTTGTCTTTTGTACACAGTTGGATACACAGTGTCCTGAGCAAACACTTTGAAAAAATGAATGGGGGAGGAAGGCTTTTGTCCTTCTGCTATGAATGAAATCTCCTAATATTTATCTCTATGTCCCATTTTCATGATATGCCTGGAACTTGTAATTATTGGCTTAAATCTATATTCACATCAAAGGACATTATAAACAGAATGAGAAAGCAACTCACAGAATATCAGAAAATATCTGATAAGAGTTTAATATTCAGGAAAATAAGAATTCCTAAAAATCAACAATAACAATTTAAAAATGGGCAAGGAACTTATAAACGTTTCTCCAAAGAAGATATGCACATGGCCAAGAAACACACACAAAGATGCTCAGCATTGCTAATCATTAGGGAAATGCAAACCAAACCACAGTGAGATGCCCCTTCATTCCCATTAGGAAGTTGGCTAGTACTTACGGTCAATCAATCAATTGAATGAACAAACAAAGTAACAGATATTGGTGAGGATGCAGTGAAATTAGAACTTCTGTGCATTGCTAGTGGGAATGTAAAACTGCACAACCACTATGAAAAACCGTATGGTGGCTCCTCAAAAATTAAAATAAAACTTAACATACGATCCAGCAATCCCACTTCTGGGTATATCCAAAAGAACTGAAAGCAGAGATTTGAACATATAATGGTACACTAGTGTTTGTAACAACTTTATTCACAATAACAAAAGGTGGAAGCAACACGAAATACCCATCAACAGATGAATGGATTTATATAGTATGGTATGTATGCATACATGCACACATACAGTAGAATTGTTCATCATTTAAAACAAGTGAAAATTTGACTTGTTACAACATTAATCTGGAAGATTAATGGCTAAGTGAAATAAGCCAGCTACAAAAGGAAAAATAGTGCAAGTCTACATTTATGAGGTATCAAGAACAGTCAAATTCATAGAGACAGAAAAATAAAAATCTCAGGGAAAGAGTAGAAAAGGAAGTTACTATTTAAGAGGTATAGAATCTGAGTTTGGTAAGATGAAAAAATTTTGGGGGGACAATGGTGACAGCTGGACAATAACGTACTTAGTGCCACTAAACTGTGTACCCAAGTGGTTAGTATTGGGTGCATTTTCTATTTTTGTATGTCATAACCACAAAAAAGATCTAGCTAAGAAGAAATCTATATCCCCTGCTAAATGTAGGGAGCAGGGACTTTGTGTGACATTTTTGCTGAGTTTTGCCAACGTCTAACAGTTTGTACAGCATGGTGGTATCACCAGACAGGGTCTGAGGAGATCCCCCTAAAGGGATATGAGACTGTCTTGATTACTTTTCTCTCATTTCTTAGACAAGACACTTGCCCAAAATGAAAGAAGGAAAGATTTATTTAGTTCACAGTTTTTGGAGGTTTCAGTTCATACTCAGCTGTCTCCAAGAGCAGCATGGCTAAGGGGCAGCCGTACACGGCAGCCACAAACAAGAAGAGTGAAAAAGGCAAAAGGGGAAGCATGCCTCCTTCCCTCCCTCCCTTACATTTATGCTAGCTCTGCCCCTGGGTGGGTGCAGCATTCACACCACCAATCCCAGTGCTAGACAATGAACCAATCACAAATGCTAGATTCAGCCACCTCCATAACTGCATGAGGCTAGGGGGACCAACCAAACATAAACCATAACAGGGATCTCAGCTTGTCCCATCTTGCTTCAGCTGTGGGGAGGTTTTTGGTTTATTGTTGCAGGTAAGCATTTCAGGATGTGTCAGTGAGTGACACAGACAGATTTACTAGACAGAATGAGAGCAGAGCACACTCAAAGAGCACAAGTGTGGGTGTAGAGGATGGGACACCCTATGGTCTGGGGTTAAAAGATCCTTGAGGCAGATGACCTAGGATTGCTTTGTTTTATTTTTAGTTGTTCATGGTTTACCTATTAGTGGGCTACCAATTAGTGGGCTAATGCAGTAAATGACTTAATAAATGGGATTAAAATGTAAACTTTTTGCATCTGTTTGAAATTTAGAGGTATAGTACCCAATTAATAGTGTTAATTTTTTTTTGAGAGTGACATTCTTTGGTATTTGTGGATTCATAACATCAGAAAAAAAATACAGGTTTAATTTATGGACTTATAGCATCTTTGAGACTCTTAGGAATTTAGGAATTAGGAGTTTGGAAGGAAAAAACAAGCCTAAGGTTGAATAGGCATTATAACTTGGGTAACTTTGATTATGTCCCCAAACTACAGTTTCCTCAAAGTAACAATTTTGAGGTTATAGTTTCCTCTGTTCTTTCCTACCCATTTTTATTTCTTCTGGGCTACCTGAGTAGACTCATTTGCTGGAAGACAATGAATAACATAAAAGTCAAAGAGAAGCCAAGCATTCGAGCCAGGATTTTATCTGTGAAGTATTGGCCAAAAGGCTATGTTTGTGGGACAGGTCTCAACTTTTCTTCTCATGAGTCACCTAAGCCAAATCACAACATCTCAGGACCTTGGTTTCCATGTCTCTAAAGTGGGGCGGGTAATCCTTGACCAGCTTCTTGCTGGTGTTCTTGGGAGAAATGGTTAACATAGTGGGTCTTCCAGTTGAAGGAGTTACTTGGCTACCTTTTGCATGTATTGTGATGAGCTCTTGCCTACGATGTGATGTTTTTGCTGCACATACTAAAAGTGACTTAAACTCACCTGCCTCACCACTGCTTATCCTCCATGTCAGGTCTAAGCCACCTAACCCGGCATAGCTCAGCTGCTGTCACCCTGTCCTACTCTGGAAGCACTGGAGCTGTTCTGTATTTTAAATGGGTAGATTATAAAGCCTTTGTTAAGCTGCCCGTATATCCTTTGTATCTGTGCATATATCAGATGGTACAGAGGAGCCCTCAGAGGTGCAGGGCGCATATTCACGTTCTAAATTCAGGGCAGTGAGCAAATCAGGCTTATCCTCATGATGAAGATGAAGAGGAAATGGAAGTTTTCTTCCATTATTTAGAATGAAACTACTGAATGTTACACTATTTTCTTAGAATTTTCTGGATGGCTTCTTCTTTTTCACTCAAATACCTTATTTCCCTGGAGTGAAATATGTAGGAATAGAGAGGTAAATGGCCTGAAAACAAGTGTACTGTAATACATTCACTTTGGCTACAAAAATAAAACAACCTAAACCTAGTTTTTCTTGCAATCTTTAAATCCAGATGGTAGTAAAATTTGACATTTCAATTCTGTTTGTGAAATCCATTTTGTTTTTAAATTGGGAAGAACTATAGAGCTAAAAATTGTCTGTAGCACTAGAGAAGCCTGGTAAGACCTCTTTTGCAGTGTTATGTATTAATAAGGACTTGGCCTTTTAACACAAACTTGGCACTGTCGATGGAGACGCCAAGCAACTGCAGTGGATATAAATAAGGGCCCAACACAGAGAAGCTCCCCCCTCCTACAAGAGGCAGAGGACCAGGCTGGACAATGCAAGGAAAAGAGAAATTTGGACCAAAATAGAGACTGTTTTGGTGGGCAGATTAATGTTTGTTAAAATACCAATTCTTGGTGAGTTTGGAATTTTAAATTTAGCGTTATAACTACATTTTTATTTTGTATATTACTATTTACACTAACTAAACCTTATAGTAAAATGTTTACAGTTCTCATTCTATAATTTGGAAAGTCCTCATTCTATAATTTATAAAATTTTGCAGTTGACCAACTTAATGAATTAAGCTCAAATTTTAAGAGTTGAGAGTGATCAAAACAGGTCAGATACTCCTTTTACAGAATACTTTGTTGGCAAAGCTTATTTCTGCTCTGTATTAAATATTTGAGAGTCTGCTGTCTGTAGTTTTGGAGGAAAGAACAGGAACACATTGGTATCTCTGTATTAAATGGTGTATCTGTTAAAATTTTCTTTTTTGGCTGAAAGTGAAGAAAACACACCTAGTTGGATTTTTTTTTTTTTTCAGCGAATGTACTGGCTTATGTAACTGTTCAGTCCAGTGAAGAGGCTGGCTCACCTGTTGCTTCACACAGGTGCTCTGGAAATGTCTCCAGGACCTGGTCTCACGTCAGCTCCTCTCTCTTCTGTATGTTGCTCTCATTCTCAGATGGTCTCCGTTCATAGTTATAGAAAGGTTACAGGCTCCCCACATTTTATATTCCTAAGACTTCAGATCTGTGGGGGAAGAGAAGACCTTTCAACCTCAGCAGATGAGCAAGAAACCCGGCATCTGGTTCTCAATGCCCTGAGTTATGTATCTAGACCCAAATCAATTACTTTGAGTAAGAGGATTGAACCTTTTGATTACCTTAGTTCAGTGCTGGCTCACACAGGGTTTAAGTGTGGGACAAACTACACAAGGTGAGTCTGACAAGAACAGGGTCTCTTAAAGGATTATCATGCTAAAGATAAGGACCAAAACAACAGATATCAGCTCTGAGTTGCACCTAATTAAACTACTCCAGAATTCAGTACAATAATTAGTAGTGTTGACAGTTACATGCTAGGATATGCAAAGATGAATAAGAAAGGTCTTCTTCAAGTTTCTTAATGCTCTGGGATGCCATCGAATCCTCAAAGCTGAAGCTGCTATGAGAACTTTCTATTTCCTGGCTGTCACGTATTTAATTGTAAGAGTCCAAGTACCTGATTGCTATACTGTAGAAAAATACATTATTGGGATATTTTCTTCACACCTTTCTCCTGGGAAACACACAGATGAGAGAAAAAATCTCTTTAAATTCTTTTTGCCACATTCTATGTTTAGACCAAAATGAGAAAGAGATATTTCTGGCTGTGGACTGCAGGAGGTCCTGCTGTTTGGAAGTGCTGAAGTGGTGTACATAAACTGTGCATTTTAGTGCGCAGCGTCAGTCCTAGCTTCCTCGCTTGCTCTGGTATGAATTCTTCTCTGGTTCCTTCTCTGCTTTCTTACATGTGTGTTCTCCCCCTGTACATGTAGCATACAAATATGCATGTGCAGGTATGGTTATGAGTGTGTACATACACACTGATATTAAAAATGTTTAACAAGTGACAGGGCGTGTTCCTCTACCAGGGTGGATTTCATTCATAAACAACTAGCACAACTCTACTGGGACTCAGGAGCTGAATAGGAGCCCTGTGGATGAGCCCCATATTGGGTGAATGAAATCATTATTAACAGTGAATTTCCAGAGGCTCCTCACCCACCTCCCAACGAAGAGATGGGTATGGGATGAGTTTTCCTGAGAAGTAAGGAGCAAAAGAGGGATACACTCTACACTTCTTTTTTTCTTTTTTATATAGTATATGTTTTGTTATTTTATACTAATACATTCTCATATTACAAAAACAGTTTGGCTGAAGAATCTTCCTTTTGATATTTGAATCTTCTGAACAGGAATACAGCTAAACGGTAAAAAATGTGTTTGGATGATAATAACAAAAGACAGTTTAAAGAACAACAACCAAAGTCTCTTTTTACAGGTGGACATTGAAGTGGACCTAACTTGGTTTTCTTTTTAAAGGCCTTCAAAAAGCAGTTTGAAACCTGGATGAATGTTAAAAAGCACTTACTACATTTCAGGTCTCCAGCATCTCCTTCTGTTTTCTTAGTCTCTAGCTCTTTTCTCTGGCTCAGCGGCGCGGTTTTCATCACCGTCCAGTTCTCTCTTCTTGCCCTGAAACCATATTTTTCCTCCTGCAGACCCAGGCTGCGCAGCTTTGTTCCTTTTCCTTTAAATCTGTGACCTTGCGATTTCATTTGTTGCGGGATTCTTGTTGAGCTGACTGTTTTCAAAGCCTCCCTCCCACCTCTCCTGACGGTGCTTCCCGGGTCAGTTTGTTTCTTAGTTATCGGCTGCCATTATTTGCATCTTTGACATTATCTGGTGTTTTCTTGGCTTTTTAAAGAATAGAATTGCTCTTTCTTTTGCTTCTCTGACAGTGTCTATCTGTTTTATTTTACCATGATTTAGGAAAAGGGCGTGTAAATCATCTCCACACGTCTGATTACCTAAGTTACCCTGAAACTTCAACAAGCTAATTTTTTCTTCCAGAGATTTTATTTCAGCATCTTCTGCTAACTTCTGTTTTTCTTTTTTGCTCTTAATTTAGCTTCTGTTTTTTTCTTAAGCCAGTACCGGGAATCGAACTCACAACTGCACACTTGCAAGGCAGGCACTTATGCTGCTATGCTAAATCCCCAGCCCGATCTTCTGTTTTATTTTGCTCCTTTCTTCATTTTTCTTTGGAAAACAATCTTCCTTAAAAAGTATTAGCAAGTCTGTGTCTTTATATTTCTGACCCAGAGTTCCTACAAACTTTTTAGCAGATTCAGTGCTTATCAAACACAGCAGATACTGATCCCTAAATGCTTTGTGTACTTTTTTTTTTAACTTGGATATTTAGTACTTGGTATTTATCTCTTAGCCATTATTTTATGTCTTCAGGGGTTGCATCCATTGGGAAGCTTCTAATATAAACAGATCTGTTTTTTACATCATGTTTATACTCATCAGTCACTTCAGGAAGGGGTTTGTTTGGAGATCTGACTTTAATTTTATCTTCACTGATTTCCATGAGTTCTGCTTTAGCTTTGCTCAATGCTTACTATTACATTAGTATGTTGTTAGGTGGTTGAGTCTTTTGATTTTATCATTATCTCCAAGGGTACCCAGCCTTTATCCAATTTGATCTGTTTCTTTAAAAATGTGTCCTGTGGCAAATTGAAGTCTCCAAAATAATACTCAACTTAATAACAGATTTTGGCCTTCTGAGACAATTTTTCACTGTTACTGTTTTTAGCCACTGTGGCTAATCTTTAAGGCCGTGGCCCTGCATGCGTGCTACAGGCTGCGGGTTCACCGACAGCGACTAAGACCTCCCCGTTGCTCAGTGCTTCTGGCCTAACTAACGCACTCCTAAACTACTGAGAAAACTGCACATCAGCGCGTGTCCCACGGTGGGAGAGATTCCGTGTAAGGTGAGAGCAATGAAGCGTGAGGCAGAAGCAGGAAGAAGAGGAAGAGTTTCTTGAGATTGGAAAGCATCTCTAGAGAAACTCAGATTTAGAACAAAGCAACATAGGAAATTTTGAGATTTTTTTCCCTCACTTTGAGACAGGAGCTCACTATGCAGTTCAGGTTGTGGTCTTTCAGCCTCAGCCTCCCAAGTGCTGGGATTACAGACATGAGCCACCACACTTGGCCAGAAGAGGTTTTTAGTGGGTTCCTTTAGACTATGTATTTGGATTCTTCTTAGCATTTTTGAGATGTGGAAGAATATTTCTCTGAAACTGGATGGCTTGGGTTTCCAGTTTTATAAAGGATAATACACCAAAAGAAGTGTGCCACAGCTTTTTGTAATTGTGTTTAGATGCCCATTATCTTTGCTAAGGAGGACAAAGTGACCATATTTTGTGTCACAAAACCTCCCTCAATCTTACTTATGTTGAACTTGGGGAAGATTACTAGATCTAAGATTGACCATACATTGGCCAGTGGCTATATGATCTGGTAAAAAGTGCAAGCTGGGCAAATCATCCCTCTTCTCCCATGAACTTGTACCGTGAATACAAATGTACTCATTCAGTCACTCAACTTATAGTCAGCTTCTGAGTACCTGGTGCATGTTCTAACAGTGTTCAGTGCACTTCAGGTCACAGGAAAAAAGCCTGGCAGAGGGATCGTCCCTGAAAGGGGTGATGGTTGAACTGAGACTTGAATAAGGGGAAGAGTGGGAAGAACTGAATGATGCAACAAAGATAAAAGCTTTAAACTGGGAACAATCTGGGCATGTTTGTCTAGGGAAGGGTGAGACCTTGGGGGTGTCATGGGTAGTGGAGAGGGAGCCAGAGGCCCTATGTTACAGACTCAGGAGGGCTGTTGTGAGAAGTATGAATTTTGTTCGAAGGATACCAAGAAGCCATGACAGTTTAAAGCAGGTATCAGCACCATCAGGGAAGGTTGGAGACTTTTGCTGGGAGAGGAACTCATCCGAGGGGAGAAATCAGGAAGGAAAGGGTTTACTGATGGAGCTCACGGTGAAGTTCATGACACGAGGAATGGTTCGAGACTGAGAGGAAACAGAAGCCACGTCTCAGTGAGGAAGTTGAGAATTATAGGCACGAGCAGCAGGCCAAGAGAGCCAGCCAAAAGAGAGAAGGCAGTGATCATGAATGCGAGTGAGATGGAGAGCTCAGCATGGGAGCTGTCCCCAGGTCGGTGACGGTGACGGTGACGTCCTGGCCCCTCTGAGGCATGTCTGTAGCATGGTTCCTCTAAATGCCTTATTTCCTTATTGATTTATTGATTCTTTCACTAAACCACTCTCTGTTCTTTAAAAGTCACATTGAGAGCTCTTTTATTAGAAACTAAACCTAGATCATAAAAATCAAATGGGTTTAAACTACACAAAGTGGGGCCAGAGGTATAGCTCAGTGGCTGGTGCCTGTGTGGGTTTAATTACCAGTTCCAAAAAAGAGTGATAAACAAACTATGCAAAGCATTTGGCACCTCAGCTTATTGCCCTATTGAGTGAAAGCAGGCATCTCCCAAGTCAGTAGGTGAGAAAGCCAGGTCCTTGCTTGGGTGGCACATGACTATTTATGTTGGGGGATCTGAGTCCTGGGCAGAGAACTCACATCCTCTTAATCCCATTCTAATTGACATTGCCTAGATAATACTTTACCTGTATCTGTTTAACTGCACCTGTATTTCTCAGCTTCTGCCTTGGGACTTCTCACATGCCACATGGGAAACCCATGGGAACTTATTTAGGGCTTGACTATGTGCAGACTTGGAAGTGTGAGGCCGTTAATCCTCCACGGAAAAACCTGAACCATTGGGGGCATGGAAGAATTGAATAAAAAGTCCCCAAGATTACCTCACCATTCAAAGAAGAATATTCTATTATTTCTTCAGGCATCTCTAGTTGGATCAATTCCTGTTTCTCATGGTTTCTGACTAGACAATATACCTTTATAATGGAGAGTTTTTTCTTTCTGTTCTATTTGTCTGGATTCCTCAATTCCCTGGGTTTCCCTCCCAAAATAAACTTCCTGCTTGAAAATGCTTGGCCTCTTCTTTCTGGCTAGAACTCAGGCTAGAACGAATTGCATTGCCTGGTTGCATCCTAATATAGTAATTATTTCTTATTGTTACATTTAGATTACTTCATTGTTATAAATGTTATGATGTACATTCCAGTAATCACATCTTTACACTGTTTTTAGAAAAATGGCCATGAATGAAATTGCTTAGTTTACCACTGATAACAAGTATACACATTAAAAGCTTTTGGTACACATTGAAGCAGAAACATTTTTAATGTAATGGTTCCATATATTTGGGGAAAAATTAACCACTAATCTGAGGACATAATCTATGTATAAAAATTCACTTACAGTGAATGATTACATATTGAATGCTGGCTACCTTCCATAACTATAAGCAAACAAATCAGTTAAGACTAGGTGAAAAGAATTACTTGTCTTGGTTCAAGTACTATGTGTTTTGGGATTGGCTTTGCCCATTGTATTTTGTCTTTTTAACATTATAAGTTAAGGAAGTCTGAGAGGTCACATATTTAATCTAATTGAGAAATTCATTTTATGTATTTTAGGAGCATTCAACCAGTAATATTACTGCTCAAGAAAGATTTCAAACTTATGACGAATTTTAGTTTCTAGTCTATAAGGTGACTAAAAGAGTAATTTTCTTTTGTGAAAATTGAAACACCAACAATTTAGATATCTTTGTATCAGTATCCTTCTCTCTCAAAAGTGTTGTCAAAATTGACACAGAACATGATGTAAGTGTGTGTGTGAGTTAATGTCACAGAATGATCTAGTTTATGTTTCATAAAAAAAAAAATTTACCCAGGGAATTCCTCCTAAGTTATGTGTCCTTGGTGAAGGTGTACCTCACCTTCTGATTTACTGTAGTGGAAATAAAGTCAAAGTTATCAAGTTAGGTTTGCAGTCTCACTGTTTGAATGTTCGCTTTGTGTGCTTTGATCCTGTGACCTGAAACACGGTTTCTAAGATGATAGCGAGTAATCTATTAACTCGTGATAGCATACTGTTTTTTTTTTTGTAGTTCTGAATTACTTGTACCCTTACACTGTTTTGTTTTGTTCTGCTTTTTTTCTCTTTTTCCTTTTAAATAAAAAAAGTTATCAAGTTAGAAAAGAAAATTGTGTAAGTTTTGATACCATATCATATTAAATACATTCCTATGATTGTATTACCTTGGTTACTTACACATAGACTTTAAAAAGCCCCACATCTACATTTACCTGTGTAAATGGCTTATAGTTGATAATATGTGGAGATTATGGCTTTCACAAAGGGTTTCTTGGTAGATGCATGATTAGAAGCATAGCTATTTCTACAGAAAATAGCATACAATGTTTTGATTTATAACACTTTTTCCATTATCTTGACCTACAATAAAGGGTTGGGCATTAACCGCTTACTTAAGAGTGAAACTCTTTCTAATAACATTGTTTTTTGGAGGGACAATTAAAGTCTATTTATATTATGTTGATTTAAAATAACTTTTACAGGAATTTGAACCACATAAATGAAAGGACTGCTTGCCTCATAAATCTTTTCTCTTTGTGTAAGCTTGTAGCATGTGGACGCAGGCATTAATGCAGTTTAGAATTGCTTCTACCTCCTATTCCTGTTAATTGGCTTGGATGGAACAGGTGGAGTCAGAACTTGAAAGCTAG